AGCCAACAGCTCAGGAACAGGAATTTTTAAAATTTATTTTTATTTCATTTATTTTATTAAATTAATTTTGTTGTCATAAATTTAAAGTTTACCATTTATATAAGAAACAAATTTCATGTTAAGTGAAAAAAAATAATTTTTTGGGGGGAGGGGACCCCCCCTGGCGGGCCACTCGGGAGCCACATTTGGCCCACGGGCCACATGTTTGACACATGTGGTTTAGATAAAGAAGCAGTTTGTGTCTGGACTCATGCATTAGTGTTGAATTTAAGCTCCTAAACGTGTCTCTGTCACATGCTGGTCTTAACATGTTATTTCTCTGTTCTACTAGTTGTTGTTTGTGACTCATGAACACTCGTAATTACTTAGAAAACTGACTTTGTTTATTATATTTGTCATTTAAGCACACCACCATTTTGTTTCTGACGCAATGCATTCTGGGGATGAMGATGATGGGTTACAGTTGAGACTAAAACACAAAGAGCCAATAAAGTTATATTTTGTTTTAGTTTCTACGTTCTACACAATACGTGGGCTGAAACGATCAAACAAGATGTTTAGTAATTTAACTCTGGAGCTGCGCTGTTGTCTACTCCTCAGTAAGAAACGTTACTATTGGCTGTCCTCAAAGCTGCTAAATGACATAATTTAATTTGCATATTTTGACAATAATTGTGATCTAGGCTGTAGGTAATCAGTGTTGGTCAGAGAAAAGGGTGAGTAAAAACACTAAATATATTTAGAACCACAAATCAAACTTAATGAAACCATTTCATGATTTTAATATTTAGATCCAGGTAAATAAATTTAGTGAGAATATTAAATGAAAGCAGCTCACAGAGACACACAGGGTGAGGTGAAGAAGTGACTGATCTGTGCAGTCGGTGTAGAGATTTATTTTAATGAGACAGTGTCAGAGAAAAAACATCCTGCTCTGTAAACCTGGAGGTCTCCTCTCTGCTCTGACTGCAGCTGCTTCAGAAGTAGACTGGTAGTAGCTGAGAGTACTTACTCCAAGAGCATACACCATGTGAGGTCTTTGGTTTTAAAACTGAACATGCAAACATACTTTTAAAATAGCCAGATTATCCCTTTATTTAGGTGTATTCAGACCTGATAATTTGGTCCACTTTAAACGGACCAGAGTTTGTTTCCAGCGTTGGTCCGGACCTTTTGTGCAGGTG